GACTTCAGCACAGCTTTCCTGCAGAGCAGCCTGCACGAGGAGATCTGGTTGCGCCGCCCACCTGGTTTCACTGAGTCTTTTCCTGCAGGTACTCAGTGGAGTCTTCGGCGGCCAGTCTACGGTCTCCGTCAGGCGCCTCGCGAGTGGCACGATACACTGAGGATTACACTTGCGGCTCTTGGGTTTGCTCCTGCTACTGCTGACCCGTCGTTGTTTCTACGCACCGACACCTCGCTGCCGCCGTTCTACGTCCTTGTCTATGTCGACGACCTCGTCTTTGCCACTGCTGACACTGAGGCACTGACCCTTGTGAAGTCGGAGCTGCAAGAGAGACACACCTGCACTGACCTGGGTGAACTGCGCAGCTATCTTGGCTTGCAGATCACCCGGGACAGAGCTCGGCGCACCATTACCCTGACTCACTGACACATGGTGCACCAGGTCCTTCAGCGCTTCGGCTTCCAGTTCTCCTCGCCACAGCCCACTCCTCTGTCTACCAGCCACTCGCTCTCAGCTCCACCTTCGGACGAGTCCGTAGAGCCGAGTGGTCCGTACCCAGAGCTTGTGGGTTGCCTCATGTACGTGATGACGTGCACTCGACCCGACCTCGCGTACCCTCTCAGCCATCTGGCTCGCTACGTGGCTCCCGGCAGGCACCGAAAGGTGCACTGGGATGCTGCGAAGAGGGTACTGCGTTACTTGTGCAGTACGTCGGGCATGGGGCTCGTGCAGCCTTGGCTCTGGCTCTGTCTCCTGGCGGTCTACCCGCTCGTCTTTGGTTCTCAGCTCCAGTTGTGAGGCTGAGATCTACGCTGGGGCCATGGCTGCACAGAAGCTACGCTGGCTCACCTACCTGCTGACTGACTTGGGAGAGCAGCCTCGTTCGCCTCCAGTTCTGTATGTAGACAACAAGGCCATGATTGCTTTGTGTCAGGAGCACAGACTAGAGCACAGAACGAAGCACATCGCTCTGCGATACTTCCTTGCTCGAGAGTTGCAGCAGCGTGGCCAGCTTCGACTTGCGTACGTGGCCACTCGGGCCAACACTGCTGATGTCTTCACCAAGGCACTTCCACCTGGTGATCATCAGCGTTTTGTTACTGTGTTAGGCCTTGTGCCTAGTTTGCCTCACTTGCTTACTGCGTGACTTTGCTTGTACTATGATCTATATATATACCTGCATGCTTGCACTTGCTAGGATATGATCACTGTATTGTTTGTTTCTCTTGTATATATAACACTGCATGTGAATTGGCCTTGTGGCCCTTTGCTTGTGCTCGGACTGTGTGGTGACTTTGTGATCCACCCTGAGCTTGCCTTGCTTTTCTTGACTGGTCTTGTGACCACTTGTTCTCCCCCACTTTGCCTATGGGGGTGTGTCGGAACATTTTAGCTTTTACATTTGTGTAGGCTATAGTGGGGTAGCCCATAAGGTGTACAGCCCAATTAGGGTTAGTACTTGTACCCAACTGTTTGCTACTTCATTCATTCTTGTTTGTTACTTTGACAGTATCCACCTCTACGCTTCCGCTATGGCGACCCCTAGGGTCCTGCGCTTTGACGCTGAGGGTAGGCCGCTCGAGTTCTCGGTCTGGCTCCTACGTGCGCGCCGCCTCCTAGAGAGCCAGGTTCAGGCACACGAGACTCTGTGGGCGCACGCTTCCAGTGACCTACCTGAGCCAGCTGACCCTGCACCCTTAGCAGCTGACCCTGCACCCTTAGCAGCTGACCCCACACCTGCAGACAGTGACCGTTATGCACGCGAGCGTGCTGACATGATAGCGTGGAAATCGCGTGACGCTGTGGCCTGCATCGCCCTTAGCAGCCTCCTCCCTGAGTCTGAGGAGACCCACTTCACTCAGGTTCGCACGGCTAGTAAGTTCCTGACTGCGATCAAGGCCCACTATGCTACTCCCACCACTGTCTCTCTTGGTCGCCTGTTCAATCTGTTCTTGTTTCCTGGCCTCGCCTCGTTTGAGCGCACTGTTGACTTGATCACTCATCTGCGCTCGCTCGATTCTAGCTACCGCGCTACTTGCACTGACGCACAACTTGCACTGCTCCCTCCCCCCATGGGGATTACTATCTATTTCATCGCCACTAGCCTCCCTGACCGCCTTGCCTTGGTTCGTGACGCGCTTCTTCTGAAGCACCCTAGCGAGCTCACTATCGAGGTCCTTGAGTCGGCCCTCAAGGATGTCGAGAGCAACCTCCGCTCGGTAGCCTCTGCCTCTGGTGTTGTGCCCCCTCCACTGTTCCACGGGTGCACTGTCCCTCAGCTGCCCACCTTTACTGCCTCCCTCGCCACTGCCGCTACTGACGTGACCGTAGCTGCTGTTACGACTTCTTCGCGGTCTCGGGGTAGGAGTGGCAGGAGGGGCGGTCAGGGTGCGGGCGGAGGCGGTGGGGGTGACGTGGCGAGCGGCGGCGGCGGGAGTGCAGGCGATGGAGGAGCGCCTCGTGCAGCGGCCGGTGACTCCCCTGCTGCAGCTGGTGGAGGTGACGCCCAGGTTCGTCAGCCACCCACTAGTCTGCCAGCCCTAGGGGGTGGAGCAGCGGCGTGGTACCTGACTCGACAACAACAGCAGCAGCAGCAGCCCCTCCCCTCGCAGTAGCCACAGCAGCAGCAGCGGCAACAGCAGGTTTCGGGGCAGGGGTCAGGACAGCGTCAGTTGCAGCGCGGTGTTGTCCACCCTCCCTGCACCTATCACGTTCTGACAGGTGCTCGCCGTAGCCAGCCGTGTGGCCGCAGCCACCCACCGAGTCAGTGCTTTGCTCAGCTTACTGACACGGTTCGATTGGCCTACGGCGTTGACGGCCCTGCCCCTGACTGGCTTCCCCTTGTTCAGACGTACGGCTCCGCTCTGTGGGGCATGTCGGCTTCTCAGTTGGTTGATCTCTTAGGAACTCCTCATGCTATGTATGCTGTTGTTGACTCTAGTGCTTCTGACTCTGTTTACTCAAGTGTTGTTAGCTTAGGTGCTAGTCTTGCTGAGGTGCTTGTTGCTAGTGTAGGTACTTGTGTAGACACTAGTCCAAGAGCTGCTCCAGAGGACGCTTCGCTGTCTTTCACTCAAGACTCCGGAGCTTCGCACTGTTTCTTCCGCAACCGCACGACACTTACCCCGCTTTCTAGGTGGGTCTCTGTAGCACTGGCTGATCTCACTTCGGGACCAGTCACTGCTCACTACACTACTACACTTCCGTGCCCGGCTGTTCCCTCCGATTCTCTGACCGGCTTCCACGTCCCCTCGTTCTCGAGGAACTTGGTGGGCGTGAGGCCGCTCGTGAGTCAGCACGTGGGTGTGTGGATTGAGCCTTCTGGCGAGACTGCGGTTTGTGTCGACGGGGACACATACGCGCCTCTCGCCACCTTTACCGCTAAGCCGGCTCTGGTCTCTACACACTTCACACTGGCCACCGAGGGCAGCGGCAGCAGCAGCAACAGCAGCAGCAGCCGCGGCAGCACCAGCTACTGCCCCCAGCCCCTGTCAGTGTCCCCCGTCAGGTTCCCGCGTCTCACCAGGTTGTCGCGTCTCCCTAGGTAGCTGTGTCTGTTCAGGTTCCAGTGTCTGGTCCAGTTTCTGCGTCGTGCTCCTGCCGGTTGCTTGCCCACCCCACTATTTTGTGGCACCACCGGATGGGGCACCCGTCCATTTCTCGCCTGCGCGCTATGTCTAGTCAGCGTCTTGTCTTAGGCCTCCCGCGTGTCTTGCTGTCGTTGCCGCCTTCGCTTGCGCCACCCTGCAGTCCCTGCGTCGAGGGTCGGCTGCGCGCCACCCCTCACTCCTCCTTCCTTTGTCCGGCCACCGAGCCCTTCGAGACTCTCCACTTAGACGTCTGGGGCCCCGCCTCGCGCCCTGGCCCTGAGCAAGAGAGTTTCTTTCTCGTGGTCGTTGACGACTACTCCCGCTACACCACAATGTTCCCCCTGGCGAAGAAGTCTGACGTGACTTCTACGCTGTTCCGGTGGTTGCTTACCACTGCGGACACTCGTGGTCGTCGTGTCAGCTGTCTTCACTCCGACCGCGGGGGTGATTTTCGCTCTGGCATTCTCGCTGGATTCTGTTGCGAGCAAGGCATCCGTCAGTCCTGGACGCTTCCAGAGTCCCCATAGCAGAATGGGGTTGCTGAGCGCCGCATAGGCTTGGTCATGGAGATCGCCCGCACCTCCATGACTCACGCCCGTGCCCCCCATTTTCTGTGGCCTTACGCGGTTCGGTACGCCGCTCACCAGCTGAACCTCCGGCCACGTGTCTCTCGGCCAGAGGTTTCACCGACCAGTCTTTGGACCGGGTCCCCTGGTGCTGCGTCGCGTTTTCGTGTCTGGGGTTGCTTGGCACTTGTTCGCGACACCTCCGCGGACAAGATCTCGCCTCGCGCTGTTCCCTGCGTGTTCCTTGGTTTCCCTAAGGACTCGTCTGACTACACCTTTTACCACCCTCCCCTTCACCGGTTCTTTGACTCTTGTGACGTCCGTTTTGACGAGTCCGTCCCCTACTACGTCAGGTACCCCTGTCGAGGTCTCCCGGTTCCTCCTGCCCCTCTCTTCCTGACTTCAGCTCCCCCTCCTGCTCCCCCGGTACAGCCTCCCCCCCCTGGTCCTGTCCCGTTAGGTGTGTCCCACGCTACCCCTCCCCCCTCGGTAGCCCCTCAGGTGAAGCCACCTTCCCCGCAGTCCTCCTCCCAGCCTACAGCAGACCCTGCGGGAGCCGGTTTTTGTGGCGAGGACCCTGAAGGTGCTAGCTCTAGAGGTGCTGGAGTTGGAGCGGAGAGCATACGTGTGCGAGGTCCTGGTTCTGGGGGTGTTGGAGTTGGAGCTGAGCCCGTGACTACAGGAGACTCTAGTCTTCGGGGAGCTGGTGTTAGTGGAGCTGGTGTTAGTGGAGCTGGTGTTAGTGGAGCTGTCCCTGGGAGTGCTACGACTGGGGGTGCGCCCTCTGCTGGAACTGGAGAGCCTGGGACGGACCCTGTTACTTCTGGTGGTGCTGGCTCTGGGGATGGTGCAACTGGTTCTTTGGAGAGCGGTCCTGGGGCTACCACCGCTCTGGACACTACTCCTCCCCCCCACCCCTACCCGACCCGGCACCAGGCCCGTGTTCGCCGTGCCCGTGAGGAGCAGCTGGAGTTGGAGCGAGAGGAGAGAGAGTTGGAGCGGCAGCAGCCGGAGCTACAGCGGCTGGAGGAGCAGCAGGAGCAGCAGCAGCAGCAGCAGCAGCAGCAGCAGCAGCAGCAGCAGCAGCAGCAGCAGCAGCAGCAGCAGCAGCAGCAGCAGCAGCAGCAGCAGCAGCAGCAGCAGCAGCAGCAGCAGCAGCAGCAACAGCAGCAGCAGCAGCAGTAGCAGCAGCAGCAGCCGGAGCAGGAGCAGTCGCAGCAGCAGCCGTAACAGCAGCAGCAGCCACCTCCTCGTCCTGTCTCTGGTCTTCGGACCCTCGGTCTCCCCTCTCCTCCTCCCTCCCCCCCCTCTCCTCCCGTCTCTGGTCCTCCGCTTCCTCATCCTGACCCCTCCCCAGCTGTTTTCCCTCCTCCTCTGCCCCCGTTGTCCCCTCCTCTTTCTCACACTTGGCCTTCGCGTCGCTCTCTTCGTGCTCGTCCCTCGTCCCCTGTTCCCTTCACTGACTTTCGTACTGCCCTGTTTTGTTCTAGTCCGCCTTGTTTGTCTCCTTCTGTACTTCCTTCTCCTCCTGAGTCGGTTCTCACTGCTTCCCTCTCTACCCCTGTCACATAATACTACCGCACGTAGCGTCCTGTTCTCTCTCATGCTCTCACCTCTCTTGTTACTGACCCACGTGCTTCTTTGTCCTCTGTCTCCGCTCTTACTGCCGCAGTCACTGAGTTTGCCTCTACTCGCTGCCTTGACTACGCCACCAGTCTTGTGGCTGCTCCTCCTACCACTCCTCTGGCCGTCGAGGGTGAGTCTGCCCTTGGCTGTGACGCCCTAGAGGACAGGCAGTTTGAGCTGGAGTTCCTGGCAACCGCTTCCCCTCATCTCTGTGCCATGCTGCTCGCCCCTGAGAGAGACCCCGACGCCCTTGACATACCGACTCCTCGCACTTACGCTGAGGCAGTGTTAGGGCCTTGGGTCTCTCAGTGGAGAGCTGCCATGGACTCAGAGATGGCCTCCTACAGATCCACAGGCACCTACATCGACGAGGTTCCTCCCTTTTGGGCGAACGTAGTCGATGGCATGTGGATCTTCAGGGTGAAGCGGCCACCGGGATCTCCTCCGGTCTTCAAGGCGCGCTGTGTGGCTAGAGGTTTTAGTCAGCGCGAGGGAGTTGACTTCTTTCAGACCTTCGCGTCTACCCCAAAGATGACCACTCTTCGGGTGTTACTACACGTAACAGCACAGAGAGACTACGAGTTACACTCTCTTGACTTCTCCACTGCTTTCCTTCAGGGTAGCCTACACGAGGAGGTCCGGTTACGTCGTTCCTCTGCCTTCACTGGCACTTTCCCTCCTGGAACCCAGTGGAGGCTTAGGCGACCAGTCTACGGTCTCTGTCAGGCTCCTCATGAGTGGCACGACACCCTTCGCTCTACCCTTTCTGACCTTGGTTTCCAGCCTTCTTCTGCCGACCCGTCGCTGTTCGTTCGTCGTGGCTCCACACCGTTCTTTGTACTGGTCTACGTCGATGACCTGGTTTTTGCCATTGCTGACTGGGTTGCTTTGGCTGACGTGAAGCTCAAAATACAGAAGAGACACAGTTGCACTGACCTTGGTGAGCCGCGCCACTACCTTGGCCTGCATATCACCAGGGACAGAGCCTCTCGCACCATTACACTCTCACTGTCACACATGGTGCAGCAGGTCCTTCAGCGGTTTGAGCTTCAGCACTCCACAGTACAGCGCACACCTCTTGCAGTTGACCACAGACTCACTGGACCCTTTCCTGACGAGCCGTTTGAGCCTAGTGGTCCCTACGCAGAGCTTGTGGGCTGCCTCATGTACCTGATGACTTGTACTCGCAAGGACCTCGCCTTCCCTCTCAGCATCCTTGCTCGCTTTGTTGCGCCTGGGAGACACCGTCCAGTTCACTGGTCAGCTGCTGTGAGGGTGGCGAAGTACCTAGCGACGACATCAGGCGTGGGGCTGGTTCTTGGAGGGAGACAGTCTGTCGTACTTACTGGACACTGTGAATCTTCTTACGCTGACGCCGCCGAGACCCACTGGTCTACTCAGGGGTACTGCTTCAGCCTGGGCTCTGGAGCTGTTTCGTGGAGGTCCACGCGTTCCTCCTCGGTCTCGACCTCTACCACTGAGGTTGAGATCTACGCTAGAGCCATGGCTGCACAGGAGCTGCGTTGGTTGACTTTCTTGCTCACCGACCTTGGTGAGCGGCCGAACTCTGCACCGACCTTGTTCACTGACAACAAGGCGTCGATTCTCCTCTGTCGAGAGCCGCGACTGGAGAGCAGAGTGAAGCACATCAATGTCAGGTACTTTCTTCTGCGAGATTTGCAGAGGCGTGGACAGGCTCGTTTCAACTTTGTTGAGTCCGAGGCCAACACTGCAGACATCTTCACCGAGGCCCTGCCGCCTTGTGACCACCAGAGGTGTTGTTGTGCAGTTAGGTCTCGTTGACACGGGTTCTCGCCTTGCATAGTCTTGAGTTCTCTCTTTGCCTTGTTTATACACTTTCCATATACCTCTGTGAACTCTTGAACTAGCCTTGTGGCTCTTTTGCTTGTGCTCGGAGTGTGTGGTGACGTTGTGATCCACCCTGAGCTTTGTTTCTTTGTGACTGGTCTTGTGACCGTACACTTTTGGTTTTGCTTGACACCCCTCACTTAGACTATGGGGGTGTGTCAAATGTTGTAGTCTTAGTGATGTGTGTTATAGGGGGTACAATTGTTATGGTTAGGTTTATGTACCCCAACCAACCTTAGTCAAACTAACACTTTCATTCTTGACAGCTTAGTGGGGTGCTTATAGAGAAGCACGTCACGTGTGGTGTGGACGAGAGGCGGCCAGGGAGATGAATGGCGATGAAATAGAGGGTGGAAAATATAGGTGGGGGGCGGCTAACAAGCTGGGTGTCGGAACATGGAGCACGGTAGCTAGTGTCGAGCGAGCGCATGTGAGTGATTAGGTCGGTAGTAGTGTGAAACACAGCAAATTCTAGGAAGAAGAACGGCATGAGGAGTCGTTCCAGAGTGGCAGAGGAAAGAGTGGAATAGCGAGGAACGATAGCGTCAAAGCACTTCGTCGCTGACGTGACCTGGCTGAAGTGGACGGCCTCGGTCATTGGGAGGAGGCTGCTTGTAATGGCTCAACCACAGTTACAGCTGAGAGCAAGACGAGTTGCAGCGTCGCGGGACTGCCACTCTGAGTAGTCCGTGCGCCGCCTAGCAAACGCCTCCTGGTCCACCTCAGTGGGTGTAGCAGGGAGCGGGTCGGGGCGCGGAGGGGCTGGAAGCTCGCCTGACGTGTGGGCGTACAGTATGTGCTTTGGAGTTAAAGTTTGGCATGCATAAACTACGTGCTAAAATCTAGCTCTTCCTTCCGCGTCGAAACATAGAACTCGGTCGGCGCCATGGTGCAGGGAACGGACTAGGAACAGCAGGCAGGCTAGGAACGGATGGCTAGGAACGGCTGGTGAGGAACAACAGCCGGAAAAGTAGTAAGGATACAACTATGTCCTAGTGTAGTTATGGCTGGCTCAATTGTAATTGTGGCTGGCTCGGCTGAGGCTGTGGCTGGCTCGGCTGTAGCTGAGGGTGGCTCGGTTGTAGCTGTGGCTGGCTCGTCTATGGCTGCAGCTGGCTCGGTTATAGTAGGAGCTGGTTCGGCTGTAGTTGTGGCTGGTTCGGCTACGGTTGCGGCTCGGTTATAGTAAGGTCTAGCTCGGCTATAGTTGTAGCTGGCTCAGGTGTGGCTGGTCCTGGCTCAAGTGGTGAGGAGCTGCTGCTAGCACTAGGTAGATGCAGCACTAGCAGTACTGTCTAGCTGCTGTTGGCGGCTAGTTGTCCAACTGCTGGCGCTGCCTGACTGGCGGCTGGTTGCTGCTGGCGGCTAGCTTCTACGGGCGGCTAGCTGCTGCTGGTGGCTAGCTTCTGCTAGTGGCTAGCTACTGCTGGTTGCTAGTTGCTGCTGGCGGCTAGCTGCTACTGGCTGCTAGCTCCTGCTGGCAGCTAGCTTCTAGCATATGGCCCTGGCTGTCTGGCAGGGGCGACCGCGAGCACGGGACGAATGCGAAGATTCGCCCTACAATGGGAGTGGACTACGGAGGAGGGCACGGGGTTGTGTGGGTGATCGTAGCGTTCTGGTAGTGTTCTTACTACTTGTTGTATTCACATAGAAATTTGGTAGGAGTTTCACTAAGAAATTGAGAAGAACGATATATTACAATGAGGCATGCAAGTCAATAGAGCAAGAAAGGCATTGCAACACCTAGCATGCATTTTGCAAGGCGAATTGCCAGCGCAACATCAGGGCGGCTCGCCAACGCTGCAACACGGCGGCCTGCCAGCGCAACAGCAGAGGGGCTTGCCAACGCTGCAGCAGGGCGGCCTGCCAGCGCTGCATTCGCAGGTGAATATCTGCGCACATATGCGCACCTACTAAGTAGGTGCAGGTCGACGGTTGCACCGTCAGGTACATTGCGCAGGTGCCAGGTAGAAAACGTATCGTCGGTTTCGCCAGGTGTCCACCGCCGAGCACATGATGCCGTTCCGCAGGTCGACTTTCGCCAAAACCTTCTGGGCGAAATTCACATACCTTCGCAGAGTTTCGCAGCCACGCGGAATCGGCCGACCAGTTCGCCGAAACGAGGCTCGCCGAATAGCACCCCTTGACGGTTTAGGGTACGGATCATTGAAAACCACCCCGTCTGTCAGAGTTCGTCGACGGGCTTGGCCGATCAAAGGAGGAGCTCGTCGAACGACACCCAGTCGACCAGAGCACGTCCATGGGCTAGCCGACCAAAGACGGCCTCGTCGAAAACCACCCCGCCGATCAGAGGACGTGCTGGTCGATGACCTCTGTCGTCTAAACCCGAGAGCCAATTCAACGACCACTTCGTCGAATTCACCATGTCGTCGCAGAAGTGCAGTAGTTGGCGCAGCAGCGAGTGCGCGCAAAGCAGCAGGCGCGTACGCATTAGCGAAGGCAGCAGCGCGAGCGCGACAGCAGGCGCGCGGCAGCGAGCAGCAGCACGCGTGCGGGTAGCTTCACGAGCGCGTGTGCGAGTGCGACCGCGGCAGCAGCAGCGATCACTGGCGTAAGCAGCAGCGCGAGCGTGACTGGCGACAAGGCTCGGCAAGGCGGCAGTGAGGGGAAGGGCACGCAGGGGGCGTTTCTAATCGCGACGAAAGCGAGGCCCGCGGGGGCCGTGCGAACCACGACGAAGTGAGCCTGCAAGGGCCTACCCTAAGGCGACTAGTTCGAGGCTAAGGGACAGGCGCCTCGTCTTATAACTAGCTAAGGGCTAAGGGGGGGAGGGGAAGCGTGGGACGGGGGGAAACCTATTCGAAACTATGTTGAGAATAAATGTTGCAGTGCTAGGAATGGGTTTTGGTACAAGTATAACCTAATTTAGGCTATGAAATGTGCAGTTTGACAGCCCCTTGCTAGTTCATTATTTGTCATTTTTACTCGCAATGAGTAATCAAATGGAATGCATGGAAATAGCAAGCAACAAAGCTGTAACTAAATGAACTGCCAATTCAGGGAGAGTCGCGAGTCAATATAAAAGAAGACTAGGTAGGGGGGAATGTCAGAATGTTATTCTCTAGCCTGTAGTGGGGTGCTCTATAGCGAGTACAACCCATCTAGGGTTTGCTATATGTATCCTCATTGCTGCTAGTGAACCTCTTCTTCTTTTGCCTAAACTTCTCTTGCCTAGCTAGGACTTACCTAGCTATGGCTCCTAACTCTACCTACTATTTTCACATGGTATCAGAGCAGGTCGATCCCCTTGGGTCGATCCTGTGGGTGGGCTCACCACCTCACTGCTTCCGCTGCTACTGCCACTCTCTGTGTCGCACGCCCCGTGGCGTGCGACGGATTTTTCATCCCGCCGCGCGCTCGGAGCGTGCGGCGGTTTTCTGCCCGCCGTGCGCCCCGAGGCGCGCGGCGGCCTTCTGCCCCGTCGGTCCGCGCGTCGCCCCCGGGGGGCGCTTCGACGGGCGACGGGGACCAGCCCGTCGTCCCCCGTCGCCCGTCCTGGCCAGCGCGGGCTGCGCCAGCCCCGAGCGCGGCCCGTACGGGCTGCGCCCGGCCCGCGCGCGGCCCGTACGGGCTGCGCCAGGCCCGCGCGCGGCCCGTACGGGCTGCGCCAGGCCCGCGCGCGGCCCGTACGGGCTGCGCCAGGCCCGCGCGCGGCTCGGGCCGCCTGCGCGCGGTTCGTCGGGCTGTGCCAGGCCCGTGGGCGGCCCGTTCCTCTCTGTCCCTGAGCTGCTCGCTGTCCCCCGTGCTTCTGACGGTGCCCCACCTCTACTGCTGCCCGTTCTCCTGAATTAGGGTTTGGGGGTGAGGAGTGTGGGGGTGGCGGTTGTGTGTTACTCCCCTTGCTCCTCCTCCTCCCTGGTCTCCCACTGCTGCAGCTGCCGCTGAGGGGGGTGGGTGTGTGGGAGCCTAGGGTTTAGGGTTTTAGGGGGGTGCGTGGGAGTGGAGCTAGGGTTTGAGCAGTGGGTGTGTGTCGAGGGTGTGGGGCAGTTGGAGGAGGTTGTGTGGAGGTACCTGTCGTGTCGCCTGCAGCGCCTGTAGTCCGTCGCCCTTGCTTCGGTAGCCAGTGAGCCTGCTGCACCAGTCGCCAGTGGGTCCGTTGCTCCTGCCGCTCTTCTATAGCCGCCGAGCCAGTTACTCCAGTAGTCCGTCGCCCTTGCTTCGGTAGCCTCTGAGTCAGCCGCTCCTGTGCCCGTGCCTCTGCAGCTTCAGTCGTTGCCTCCCATCTTCTCTACCTCCACAGCTCCTCCTCCTCCTCACTTGCCCGCTGTGATTAGCTCTAGCTTTGCTTACCTTTGTGAACTCCTGCTCTATACCTGCTTGCTCATTGTACTGATTACACCCCACTTTGGCTATGGGGGTGCGTCAGAATGTTATTCTCTAGCCTGTAGTGGGGTGCTCTATAGCGAGTACAACCCATCTAGGGTTTGCTATATGTATCCTCATTGCTGCTAGTGAACCTCTTCTTCTTTTGCCTAAACTTCTCTTGCCTAGCTAGGACTTACCTAGCTATGGCTCCTAACTCTACCTACTATTTTCACAGGGAACTGCGGGGAAACGAGTTTGGACACAGGTTGGGCACGGAAGAATCTGAAGGCGATGCGAGGGAGCCTCGGAGTAGAGAATATAGCCGAGCCTACACTTGAGTTCAGATTGTACGTGATCAACTACAATCCCAGCAAGGAAATGAAATTCCTTACAATAGCAGTCAATAACGACCATACAGCATATAATGTTACAGTACAGGATGTTGCCAATTTCTGTCAAGTAATGCTGTTCGTCGTTACTGATCAGAGTCCATCCATCCACACGACCATGCCAACCAAGGAAAAAACGTGGAGTTTGGCATCAAGGGAGAGCAAGCCACAGCGCGCCAGCTGGCAAGCAACTGCAATGGAGTGGAGTCCAACAATCCAATCCACTCGCCCTGCCACTGACCTGTGTGTCCCTTCGGCCCGCACCAGTAGCCACCTTGTTCTCAACGGCCAGACTCTGTTCGTCACCACCACTAGGTCCGAATCTTTGTAAGTTCTGTTCGGAAAGTCCAAAAAAGCCCCGCGGTACAGGAACGGTACAAACACCCCAACACAACTGTGACGCACCAAGAGTGTAACGAAGCCCTTGACACGAAGGGGTTGGGCCCCTACTTGACACCTCTGTGCCCAATGTGCAGAAACAGACGAGGAGCCCCACAGCACCACCAGCTTGACGAAACAATTTCACTTATGGTGTCGCTCGTCGTTTGTGAGTGTTGCAGAAACTGCTTTGCCCGTCCACCACCTTGCCCATTCAGATTCAACTCCCAGAGATGCACATGGCGGTTTTGTGTTCTCGTTGGACGGTGGGGAGGGTAGTAGAGCACATGCAGCAGGGCTGCGTTTCTTCGTGTCGTGTGTGCTATGGAGCGGCAGGAAGGCATTACTTCACCCTAGCTCCTGCAGCCTATGTTTCACATCAAGCACGCAAGGAGAATCATCCGTCTCTCATTCGCGTCGTTTCGCGTCCCATTTTTGCATCGATCAGTCAAGCGACTCTCCGCGCGCGCCATGGCCAAGATTCACGCGGACTGCTCGCCGCTCGTGGACACGAAGTGGGTGTGTCTGTGCGTGCGGCTGCGCCTCTTCACACTCTTCGAGCTCCTCCTCGTCTCGTCGCTGCTCGGCCTCCTCGTCTTCGCTCGCCTTCCCCTGCCGTGCACCAACAAGGCCCCTCCATTGGATGACCACACTGCGGCGCCTGCAGGCCCGTCGCAGCCCGCGCCATCGGTCAGTCAGGAGTCCGCCCCGCCTTCCACGCCGCCCAGCGCGCCACAGCGGCATCCAGAGGACGATCCATTGCAGTACCTTCGCCGTTTCGTGTCGCCCGACTTCTACCGCCCGCGCCTCGCCCCGTGGGGCCGCAGCTCCGCCACCACCGGCAATACCAAGGCCGCGCAGCCCCCGCCATCGGGGATTTGCATCGCGATACCGTCGGCGCCGCGGTTCGATCCGGACGGCGAGGAGAAATCGTGGCAGCGCGTGGAGAACCTGCTGCTGGCGCTCGACGCGCGGCGCGCGCGGGAGAGAGACGGGCTGCTGGAGCGCGCGATGCGCGTCGTGGTGTATAGCTCGGGATGCCGCGTCGACGACCCCGCCAGAAGGGCCGGTGCGGCGAAAATTGGCGGACCCGGCGGCGCATCCCCCTCCGCGTTGATGCGGGCGGCGGCGATGCTGGCGCGCGAGGCGAACGTGAGCGAGACGTACGCGCGTCCGCTGGTGGGGGCTCTGGCGCAGGACGTGGCGAACGTCAATCCGCTGGTCGACGCGCACACGGCGGCGATCCAGGCGGTGGCGGAGCGCATGGAGCTCCCCGTGGACGTGCTCCCCGCGCACCCCGACGGCTGCGCGCTGCTGGGCGACGCCGGCCGCCTCCTGCGCTCCGCGCCGCGCGAGCACGTGGAACGCGACGGGTGGCAGCGGTGGCGATGGCACACGAAGCTGTCGATGGACTTCGCATACGCCGTGCGACAGTGCCTGGCGACGCGGCCGCGCTACGTGCTGCTGCTGCAGGACGACGCGTTCCCCGCGCGCCTGTGGGACGTGGGGATCGAGCGGTTCATGGCGCGCGACCTGCGCGGCAAGGCGCCGTGGGACGTGCTGTCGCTTTACTACCCGCGGTCGTACCGTTGGAACCTGCAGCACGCGCAGGAGTACGACATCCCCTGCTGCGCGCAGTCGCTGCTCTTCTCCGCCCGCTCCGCCGCGGAGGCGGTGGCGCACGTGGAGCGCGGAGTGACGCGCGCGCCCATGGATCTTCTGCTGCACGAGTTCATTGGCGGCGCGGGGGAGGACGGGCGGCAGAGGCGCGCGTACGTGCACGTGCCGTCGCTGTTCCAGCACACGGGGCGCGTGCGGTCGACGGGGCAGGGGCGCGAGAAGGCGAGCTTCCACGAGGACGTGCAATTCCCCGACGAGCGCGGCGTCGACGCGCCGTACAGCGCGGAAGAGAAGCTCGCGCTGCTGCGCAGGAAGGCGGGGGAGCGGCGCGCGGAGGGCGCGTACGGGCAGGTGGAGCCTGATGGGTGGCACGAGTTCCTGGAGAGGCAGCAGCAGGAGCTGGCGCAGCAGATGGCGGCCGCCGTGCATGGCGGCGGCGAAAGCGGCGGCGGGGATGTCGTCGGCGCGCGGAGATCCGAGAACGAGCAGGGCGGAGGGGCAGCGAGCGGAGAGGAGGCGCGGAGCAGCGGGGAGCGGCGAGGAGCAGGAGGGGGTAAAGAGGAGGCAGGGGTGGAGTTGTCGAGTGTGCAGCAGGTGCCGTGGGAAGGCGAGAGCGCTGAGAGTGTGGGGCTGCGGCCAAAGCTTCGGGCGGAGGTGAGCGGCGACGTGCTGCGGCGGCACTTCCTCATGAAGGACATGGTCCTGGCGCCCGCCGTGGCGGACACGATCATGGCTCCCGCCCTAGGGCACGCGGATCGCGCCATGTTGCAGAGGTGACCGCTGATCTCGCCAGCACGCCTGGGAGGCGTATCTGAGCTGCCTGTAGCATACTAGGCTATACTAACCGACTTGTATAGTGAATTGTACTACTTCTATACTAGGCACTACTTACCCGTTGATGCTGTAATGCTCCTTATATTTTTTTTTCTTACCTGAACTGTATTGAAATGTTACTCCATTATTGTGCGAAGAGAGAAGTGAATGCTCACGATGCAAACAATTGAGCCACGAGCACGATGAGAGAACGCCTCGTCCTAGGTGATATAGCGAGCGCCTATTTGAGAGATGACGGCATACGTATAGTCGCGGGGTTGCATAGCATGCGTAGCCACCAGTGCCGTTGGGCAGGTCAGGCCATTCTGATTTAGTGGGCGATGAGGGAGTGGGGCGAGTAGGTCATGACGGATGCCGGTCGGGGTCGCGCTCGCGCACATCTAGTCGCGCACATGTGTCGCCTCCTCCTGTCCTCCGTACCGCGGGGTGCTTCCACGGGGCCCAGATTAGGGTAATTTCCGAACCGCTATTTTGAGCGTGAAACGTCATCTCGAACGCCACACGCCGCTTTCTAGCCTGACTTGTCGGAGAGCAGCTTTTTCGCGATCTGCCGTCAATGTCGTTCGTAGCCACGCATATCGCCCTCGATGCCTCCGCACCGTCGCGCAACGCGGCGCAGACGTGACTCGCGAGAGCTATCGAAGCGTCGAGGTGGCGGGAGCGCGTGTGAGTGGAGTCGATCTGATTGATCCGAGTGGTCGTCACGCCCGGCTCTAGTCGCGCGCACACGCGACCTTGGCGCGGCAGGTTAGGCGATTTCTCGTGCTGGCGACTGTCGCCCTTATTCGTCGCCGCCATGCATCGTCGCTCGTCGCGCGCGCCGGCGGGCGACGGGGGCAGTCGCAGGGCGCGGCTGTTGCTCGTGGCTGCCGCTGCGCTGCTCGCCCTGGTGAGCCGTCTCTGCTCGCCCTGGCATGGGCTGATGGCGGGTGGGTGGCTGGCATGGGCGCAACACGAGTGAGTCAGGTTCCACATCAAGCATGGCGCCCCTCTGCTTCTTCCCTTCCCCCCCACATGCACTCGTTGCCTCATCCCCATGCTCCGCACTCCCCGTCGCCATCCGCCCTCCACCGAACCTGCCCCGCCCGATGTGGGCCGTCAGCTCACCATCATACCCCCACCTACTGCCCCACCCACCTCACCTCATTGCACTTCCGTCACTCGCCCCTCGCCTCCTACCATCTCTCGTTTCGTCGCTTCTCCCCAATCTCCCGTCCTCTCACCTTCACTCCCTCACTCTTCCCACCCCCCTTTCTTCCATCCCTTTAGTCTCCCCGCATCCTCCACTCCTCTCCACCTTCTCCCCCCCCTTCCACCAGCGCCCATGTTCTCTCGTTCTCACGCCGCCCTGCATGCCTCGTCACTCACAGCGCACCCCTCCCTCCTGCCTCGCAGGCGCTGCTCACCCACCTGCGCACGCGTGCTCTGCTCTGCCACCCCGTGCCGCTGCTCGCGCATGCACTGGCGGAGGGGGCGGACGGCACGGCACCATCGCCTGCAGGCGCGCTGCCCACCGCGGAGGTGGGCAGACACGCGGGTGTTGCACGGCACGGGCCGGGGGAGGCGGGCAGGGCGGGGCAGAGCAGCACACAGCAGCAGCAGCAGGCGGGGTGGGAGGGCAGGCAGCGTGAGTCAGCATCGGACCTCTCCTCCCTGCGGGCGTCACTGGCTGCCTCGCGCTCGCCGCACGACTGCTGGAGCCGAACTGAGATGCACGCTTACATGCCGGTGAGGGGGTGACTTTTGAGTCGACTCAAAAGACTGCTGGAGCCGATCTGAGATGCACGCTTACATGCCGGTGAGAGGGGGTGCCTGCTTGCCTGCTTGCTGCCTCGTCACTCGCCACTCGCCCACGTGCTGCTGCATCCCCATAAGCGCTCACTCCTCGCACGCTAATCACCTGCCTGCTCAGCCCACACCCGTCTCCCGCGCCACTCTCAATGCCAGCTTACGTCACACCACACCCCCCTCTTGTGCCTCCCTCCTTGCATGCTGCGCCCCACAGCCTGCCCACTCCCCTTCCCCCTCTGCAGCCTTCACCCATCGTCTGCGCCGCTACCAAGCCATGCACCGCCGCTGCGCCGCCCACCTCGACTTCAAACGCGGCCTGCCGCCCGCTCATGCCTTGAGGTGCGCTCATGCCTTGAGGTGCGCTCATGCCTTGAGGTGCGCTCATGCCTTGAGGTGCTCCACTCTACCCATACTTCCATCTCACTTTGCTGCCTCACTATGCTTGCATGTGGTGGCAGGGCGGTGGTGGCAGCAGGGAGTGCAGAGGGCCAGGCACCATGTCAGTACCTCTTCTATCGGGACTCCATTGCTGGTCAGCCCTGCCCCTCTGCCCCTCTGCTCGCCCTGCTCTGCTTCTGCTGCCACTGCTGCATCAGCCACATTTGCACCTTCCGCCACGCCCTCTGCATCCTCTGCATCCTCCATTCGCTCTGCTGCCATGCCACTATAGGAACCCAGCTGTGAGCATGCAACACATTTCCTTCTCCACTCATCACTTGCCCTCTCTGCCCTCCCCATATCACCGCGCATCTCGCCACTCCCTCCCCCCCTTCTCCCTACAGGAGTGGGCAACCACATACTGGCGTTGGTGTCAGCCTTCACGCTAGCGCTGCTCACCAACCGCACTCTGCTGTTGTCAGCCGCCTGCTTCCCCGCCACCGCCTTCCCCCCTTCTCCCTACAGGAGTGGGCAACCGCATGCTGGCACTGGTATCAGCCTTCACGCTCGCTGCTGCTGTCCCCCGCCCTCCCTCTCTCCCTGCAGGAGTGGGCAACCGCACGTTGGCGCTGGTGTCAGCATTCATGCTAGCGCTGCTCACCAACCGCACGCTGCTGCTGTCCGCCCATCGCCCTGAATGTCGCCATCCTCCCTTCCCTTATTCTCCCTCCAGGGGTGGGCAACCGCATACTGGCGTTGGTGTCGGCCTTCACGCTAGCACTACTCACCAACCGCTCACTGCTGCTCTCCGCCCATCGCCCTGCATGTTGCCATCCTCCCTTCCCCCATGCCTGCAGGAGTGGGCAACCGCATACTGGCGCTGATGTCAGCCTTCACGCTAGCGCTGCTCACCAACCGCACGCTGCTGCTCTCTGCCGCCTCCTTCCCCGCCACTCCATCCTCCCTTCCCCCCTGCCTGCAGGAGTGGGCAACCGCTACTGGCGCTGGTGTCAGCCTTCACGCTCGCGCTGCTCACCAACTGCACACTGCTGCTCTCCGCCCATCGCCCTGCATGTGGCCATCCTCCCTTCCCCCATGCCTGCAGGAGTGGGCAACCGCATATTGGCGTTGGTGTCAGCCTTCACGCTAGCGCTGCTCACCAACCGCACGCTGCTGCTGTCAGCCGCCTCCTTCCCCGCCACCGCCTTCTGCCAGCCCTTCAATGGCTCCCACTGGACCATCCCTGCTGATCACTTCCAGTGAGTCTGCCTGCCGCCAAACTGCTTAAAGAAAGGCCGCGAGCCTGCCTGCCGCCAAACTGCTTAAAGAAAGGCCGCGAGCCTGCCGCCAAACTGCTTAAAGGAAGGCTGTGAGCCTGCCTGCCGCCAAACTGCTTAAAGAAAGGCCGTGAGCCTGCCGCCAAACTGCTTAAAGAAAGGCCGTGAGCCTGCCTGCCGCCAAACTGCTTAAAGAAAGGCCGTGAGCCTGCCATTGCCACCTGCACTCACTCAGCCAGCCGAAAGGAATTCGTCACTCACCTTCACCTTCCATTTTGCAATTTCTTGGTCTTTCCTGTCCGTTCACTCTTTTTCAATGATTGTGATTGTCGTGTGTGCCATGCCATGCACATTTTCCTGCATTGGCATGTGTGCATGTACGTGTGCGTGTGTGTGTGGGTGGGCGCCATGGCAGGGCGATAGTGAAGGATGTGGGTAAGGACGCCAAGCTGTCATGGCGTCTTTCACTCTCTCTCTCTCTCTCGTTCTCTCTCTCTCGTTCTCTCTCTCTCGTTCTCCCTCTCTCTCTCGTTCTCTCTCTCTCTTTCTCTCTCTCTCGTTCGCTCTCTCTCTCTCTCTCATTCTCTCTCTCTCGTTCTCTCCTTGTTCTCTCTCTCGTTCTCTTTCTCTCGTTCTCTTTCTCTCGTTCTCTCTCTCTCGTTCTCTCTCTCTCTCTCTCGTTCTCTCTCTCTCTCGTTCTCTCTCTCTCTCTCGTTCTCTCTCTCTCTCTCTCTCTCTCTCTATCTCTCTCTCTCTCTCTCTCTCTCTCTCTCTCTCTCTCTCTCTCTCTCTCGTTCGTTCTCTCTCTCTCTCGTTCTCTCTCTCTCGTTCCCTCTCTCTCATTCTCTCTCTCTCGTTTGTTCTCTCTCTCTCGTTCTCTCTTTCTCTCGTTCTCTTTCTCTCGTTCTCTCTCTCTCGTTATCTCTCTCTCTCTCTCTCTCTCTCTCTCTCTCTCGTTCTCTCTCTCTCTCTCGTTCTCTCTCTCTCTCTCTCTCTCTCTCTCTCTCTCTCTCTCTCTCTCTCTCTCTCTCTCTCTCTCTCTCTCTCTCTCCCTCTCTCTCTCGTTCGTTCTCTCTCTCTCTCTCTCTCGTTCTCTCTCTCTCGTTCCCTCTCTCTCGTTCTCTCTCTCTCGTTTGTTCTCTCTCTCTCGTTCTCTCTCTCTAGTTCTCTCCCTCTCTCGTTCTCTCTCTCTCGTTCATTCTCTCTCTCTCTCATTCTCTCTCTATAGTTCTCTCCCTCTCTCTTTCTCTCTCTCTCGTTCATTCTCTCTCTCGTCCGTTCTCTCTCTTTCGTTCTCTCTCGTTCGTCCTCTCTCTCTCGTCCTCTCTCTCACGTTCTTGCTCTCCGTTGTTCTCGCTCTCCGTATTTCGTTATATTCTCTTCTTTCGTTTACTGTCTCGTTATGTGTTTTTCCCTCTGTTCCCGTTCCTTACTTTTGTTTTATGCCTTGGTACATTCTTCTCATTGCTATTTGTCAGCACTAACCCTTCAATACTCACGGCGTTTTTCTTAGCCCTTGTATGTTAGAATCTGAACGAATGAATGAACCAGAGAAGAGGGATTTCACTAGCAAGCAGTTGAGTACATATACCAAACCCTAAGTTGGGCTGTACTCACTATTGAGTACCCCACTGCAGGCTAGACAAATATAACATTCTGACACACCCCCATAGCCAAAGTGGGGTGTAATCAGCACAACAAGCAAAGCAAAACAAGCTCAGGGTGGATCACGACGTCACCACACATTCCGAGCACAAGTACAAGAAGTAGCAGTTTATAGTTCACAAATATAAGCAAAGCTAGAGGCATTCACAAAGGGCAAGTGAGGAGGAGGAGACAGGACAGTGAGAGGAGAGAAGATAGGAGGCAACGGCTGATGCTGCAGACACACGGGCAACAGGAGCGGCGCGCACTGGCTACCGGAGCAACGGCCCCGGACTACAGGAGTAACTGGCTCCGCGGCTAAGACGAGCGGCAGGAGCAACGGACCCGCGGGCGACTGGCGCAGCAGGCTCGCTGGGCTACCGGAGATTGTAGCCTCCGGACTACTGGCGCTGCTGGCAACACGACGACTACCTCCCTTCAACCTCCCCCACTGTCGCACCCCCCTTTCACACACCCCGTGCTGCACCTCTAGCACTACTCACACTCCACCCCCTAGCACCACTCCGTCGGCTCCCACACACCCACCCCCCTCAGCGGCAGCTGCAGCAGTGGGAGACGACGGAGGAGGAGGAGCAGGGGAGTCCGCACACACTAGACACCCCCATACGCGCCACCCCCAAACCCGAACACAGGCAGCACGTGGCAGGAGCGGGACACAGGGGCGGCACGGGGGGTGCAGGGGCTGCAGTAGGGGTAGTGCGGGCTGCAGAAGGGGCAGCGTGGGCTGCAGGAGGGGGCCGCGCGCTGGCCCCCGAGGGCGCCACGACGGGCGTCAGGAGGGGGCCGCGTTCTGGCCCCCGAGGGCGCCTCGACGGGCGACGGGAGGGGGGCCGCGCGCGGCCCCCCGAGGGCACCACGGCGGGCGACGGAAGGGGGGTCGCGCGGGCCCCCGATGGCGTCACGACGGGCGACGGGAGGGCCGCGCCCGAGCCCCCCGGGGCGCCGCGACGGGCGACTAAACCGCCGCACGCCCCGGGGCGCGCGACGGGCAGGGCACCGCCGCGCGCCACAGGGCGCACGACGGGCAGAGCAGGGCACCGCGCTGCCCCCAGGGCGGCGCGACGGGCAGAAAACCGCCGCGCGCACCGAGCGCGGGGCGGGAAGAAAAATTGCCGCGCGCCATGAGCGCGCGGCAGGGAGGAAGACAGTGCGCACCCGAGGCGCGCGAGAGGCAGGACAGCAGCGGAATCATTGGGTGGGCCCATGCACAGGATCGACCCGGGAGGGTCGACCTGCTCTGATTCCATGTTAGAATCTGAACGAATGAATGAATCAGAGAAGAGGGATTTCACTAGCAAGCAGTTGAGTACATATACCAAACCCTAAGTTGGGTTGTACTCACTATTGAGTATCTGTCAGATATATATGCCTTAGCCTATGTAGGCTGTAGTGGGGTAGACACTAAGGGGTACAGCTTTCATATTTGTATCTCACACTTTCCTAGTTCATTCCATTCCTGCTGTTCATTCTCACATGGTATAGAGCGGGTTCCCACATGGGACCGTTCCTTCCTAAGGGCCCACCATAATTTTTTAGCTGCCCGACGCCCTGCCCAAATTTTTTTTTTTTTTCGCGGCCCCTACGTGGCCCCTCTGTCGCCTAGCGCGCCCCTACGCGGCCCCTAAACGGCCCCTAGCGCGCCCCTACCCGGCCACTACGCGGCCCTTACGCGGCCCCTAGCGCGCGCCCCCCTACCCGTCCCTGACGCGGCCCCTACGCGGCCCCTGACGCGGCCCCTACGCGGCCCCTGACGCGGCCCCTACGCGGCCCCTGACGCGGCCCCTACGCGGCCCCTGCCGCGGCCCCTACGCGGCCCCTGACGCGGCCCTTACGCGGCACCTGACGCGGCCCCTACGCGGCCCCTGACGCGGCCCCTACGCGGCCCCTACGCCACCCCTGCCGCGGCCCGACCCAGCCCCGTCCCTGACGCGGCCTCTCCGCGGCCCCTGACGCGGCCCCGACGCGGCCCCTACGCGGCCCCTACGCGGCCCCTGACGCGGCCCCTACGCGGCCCCTGACGCGGCCCCTGACGCGGCCCCTACGCCGCCCCTGACGCGGCCCCTACGCCGCCCCTACGCGGCCCGGCCCGGCCCCGTCCCTGACGCGGCCCCTACGCGGCCCCTCCGCCGCCCCTACGCCGCCCCTAAAGAGCCTCCGTCCCAGACCTGCCTTGGCCCCGGCCCCGACCCTGTCCCAGCCCTACCTCGGCCCCGTCCCGGACCTGCCCCGGCCCCGACCCCGTCCCGGACCTGCCCCGGCACCGACCCTGTCCCGGCCCCGTTGCTGCCCTGTCCTGGACCCTGCTCGGCCCCGACCCTGTCCCGGACCTGCCCCGGCCCCGACCCTGTCCCGGCCCCGTTTCTGCCCCGTCCAGGACCCTGCTCGGCCCCGACCCTGTCCCGGCCCTGTCACGGCCCCGACCCAGTCCCGGACCTGTCGTTCCGCCCCTGGTAAGAGCCTAGCCGGGCCGAGCCTCGCGGCCGAGCCGCACTGCCTTGCTAATTGCCCTGCCGAGTCGCATTGTCCTGCCTCGCTCAGTTGCACTACTGCTGCTACTAGTCTGCTGCTGCTCCTAGCATGGCTAGTCCTAGTCTTCTCACCTTTGATGCTGAGGGTCGAGCGGTTGACTTTGATGTCTGGCTAGATGATCTGCAGCTTTTCCTTCAGTGCGATAGCAAGGATGGTCTCTCCCTGTTTGATCTTACGTCGGGTGCCTCTACTGCCCCTGCTGCTGATGCTGACAGTACCGTTCGCTCGCAGTGGCTCACGCGCGATGCTGCTGCCCGCCTTGCTGTGCGTAGTCACCTACCGTCTACTGAGCGCGCGCACTTTAGTCAGTACAAGAGTGCTAAGACTCTGTACGACGCAGTAGTTGCACGCTACTCCTCCCCTGCCACTGCTGCGCTTAGTCGCCTCATGCTACCGTACCTGTTCCCTGACCTCGCTGCTTTTGCCACAGTCACTGACCTCATTACGCACCTCCGCACTAGTGACACTCGCTACCGCGCTGCGCTTCCTGCTGAGTTCTGCGCCCGGAACCCTCCCCCCATGTACATCACCCTCTACTACCTAGTCACTCGACTCCCTGACACTCTCCGCTCAGTCAGGGACCACTTCCTCTCTCTTTGCCCTACCACCCTCACTGTCGACCTCCTCGAGGAGCGCCTCCTTGCAGCAGAGACTAGTATCACCGCTGTAGGCGCCTCTCGTGGTGACCCCCGTACCCCTTTCTTTGAGGGGTGCTCCCCCGTTCCTCTTTTGCCCTCTGTTGCCTCTGCTGCTGCTGTCGACCTTGTTGGCACCGAGTCGGTCAGCGCTGCG